CAGTAGGGATCCACATTACCCCATTCTCTACTCTGCTGCCATAGCTGTCTTCTTACAAATGCAGGTTTTATGATGCTAATCTTCTTGAAAGCCACAGAGCACTCTTAATCATCACAAAATATAATAAATTATAAGGTATGATAGAGTTTAGGACATGCTATCCCCCAAATATGGCACCTTGACATTTGAGAAAACAGAAGTAGAAAAGTCTCTCTGACATCCTCTGAACATTCTCCCCTGAAACATCCCATGAAAGAATCCTCTGACCTTCATCTAAAGTAGGTTGTAAGACTCTCCTGGAAAGAAATGAATGAAGATACAGAAACACATCAAAGAATCTGGACAAACTGGTCTTGCTAAATTCCTCCATTTATTACCATTAGGTCATACCTACTTGTCTTCCAGTGATACTTCTACATGACTGACCATAAAAACACACAGATTTCCCTGTTTCTTTGGGTCTTCATTTCTGAAATTTCCTATGTTACATAAAACTTAACATGAGATAAATTCATATATTTAAAATCTGTCTTGATATAGGGATCTTGGCCATGAACCCACCTATAAATGAGGAAAAGAATACGTTTCTCCCCAACACTGATGAGGTCTCCAGATAGACACCAACATGGAAGTGCTGTTGGAAAGCTCTAGTCCACATAGGCTATTATGGCGATCAGCCTCTAACATGTCCGTAATTCCATCTCCTAGTATCCATGCCCTGAAGCAATTCCCTCTCACACTGTATGAGAATAAATCTGTATGACCAATGGAGTACAAAAGTGAGGATATGGTACATCATTTCCAAGGTTAGGTCATAAAATATTTTGTGGCTTCTGCCTTGCTTTCTCTACTGAATTATTTGCTCTGGGGGAAGCCAAACACCATGTTGTAAGGACACTCAAGTGGCCTATGGATTGCCCCAAGTTACAAGAAAGCGAGACCTCTTGCCAATAGCCATGTGAAGAAACCATCTTGGAAGCGGATTTTCCATCCCCAGTCAGGCATGCAGCTGATGGCAACCTTAGCTTGGATCATACAAAATCAGAGTTGAAAAGAACTAGAGGCTGGACATGGTGGCTCATACCTGTAATCCCAGCCCTTTGGGAGGACAAGAGTTCGAGACCAGCCTGGGCAACACAGGGAGACCTCGTATCTAAAAAAAAAAAACTAGAGATTAAGTAGGGCAGACACTGATAATTGGGTCCAACATTTCCCATAAAACTTGAAGAGATTTGTGGAATCCTTCTTTATTTCTATTGCTCAGAATTGGCAACTCTTTATTATTCCTGACACCAAGAGATGTAGTGTTCGGTTCAAGCTTGCATGTCAAGTTAGTGAAAACATACTCCATTTTCTGACTGTAAGTCTGGGGCTCTTGCCACTGTTGTGCTACCATCCATACAAATGACTTACTTTAACCCCTTTAATTTATATGGGATTCCCGTCCACTTGCTGTCGATGGGTCATTCAGCTTGTTAGGAAGTATTCATTTAGAAAGAAGATCATATGGTGCTTAAGAGAATGGGAGACAGTTGGAATGCTAATTGTAGCAGGCCAAATAACAGCTCCCAAATATGCCTAGTTTCTAGTTCTGGGAACCTATGAATGCTGCCTTATATGGTAAAAGGGATTTTGTGGATGTAATTAAGAATCTTGAGATGGGGAGATTATCTCAGATTATCTAGATAAGTCTTAAATGTAATCACAAATATCCTTTTAAGAGGGAGGCAGAGGATTATTTGGTAAAGAAGAGAAGGGGATGTGACTAAAGAACAGGTAGAAGAAAGAGGATGTGATCCCAGGCCATGAGCTGAGGAATGAGGACTGCATCCCTCCTGGCGCAGTAAGGAAACAGACTGATGGTTCTTTGATTTTAGCCCACTGTACCTGATTTTGGCCATCTGACCTCCAGAATTGTGAGAAAAAACATTGTATTATATATTTATTTTGAGATGGGGGTCTCACGTTCTTGCTTAGGCTAGAGTGCAGTGGTGCAGTCATAGCTTATTGCAGCCTGGACCTCCTGGGCTCAACTAGCCCTCTTGCCTCAGCTTCCTGAGTACTATAGGTGTGACACCACGTGAGGCTAATTTTTTTTATTTTTGTAGAGACGAGGTCTTCCTATGTTGCCCAGGGTAGTCTTGAGGCAAAAGGGCTCAAGCAAATCTTGTGTCATTTTCAGCCACTGGTTTGTTATGTTTTTATAGCTGCCATAGGAAACTAATTACATTAATCTTAGCTCCAACAGATCCTAGTTCTCTTAGTTTGTGCCCAATAATCTTTCTAAAACTGCATTTCTTGTCTGTAAAGTGGGAATAATAAAATGTCTATTTCATGGGGTTGTGGTAAGATTGAATAAGATCATTCATGCAAAATGTTCAGCTTAGGACTTGGCATATGGAAAGGTCCTCATTGGCTATGGATTTGGTCTAGACAAGAAGATTGCAACAGATTTTTCTTCTATTTGAAAACTCTGGTAGACCACTAAGTAGCTATTGGAATTTAGAAAGGGTTGTATGTTTATTAACTATTCTAGTTTTCTCTCAGGACCACTGACACCTATTGGTTTTTTTCTTTTTAACTGTCCTTTCTCAAGGATGTTGACTGCAAGATGAGGGAAAGGCAAATAGGTGGAATAACTGCAGAATAACCCAGAATGAGACAAGGAAGGGGGATTTTGAAAGGATTTCTTTGTCTATTATCTACTTTCTGAGATAGCCACACAAAACAGGTGAAAAGTTATACTATTTATAAAGATCTCCTGAGAGGGATTGTCTACAGCTTTTCTGGTAATTTCCCTTGGTACATATGAAACCTGTTCATTTTCAAACAAAACTGCACTGATGGCTACACATTCTTTTTTTAATAAAAAGTTGGAACGGCTTTGTTTTTGGAAGCTGCTTGTTACCCAATGTTGCCAAAGAGGTTGTATTACAATTAGGCTATGTATTAGCTGGTCATATCTCTAGTGCAGCATAGCTATGTACATTTTTCCTTTTTCTTATCTTGGATTTCAGAATTCTCAATTTTTCAGAAGTATATACTAATAATATTTACTGGTATTGTTTATCCCTACCTCTCAGTTTTCTGTGCTTGTATTTTCTATTTCCTGCTGATTTAGCCTCTGTACTCTGTTGTTTATAGGAACTTACCATATTTGCATAGTTTAAGTGCTCTGTCATTTCTATCACAAGCCCTAGTGAGTAGGAACGTCTATGTAATTCACTCGTGTAGTGCTTAGTGGAACATCTCATGTTTCATGATTGTTTTATGATGACAGAGATGATACTATAAAATAAAGCCAAAGGAAGCTTTTTTTTTTTTTTTTTTTTGAGACGGAGTTTTGCTCTTGTTACCTGGGCTGGAGTGCAATGGCGCAATCTCGACTCACCGCAACCTCCGCCTCCTGGGTTCAGGCAATTCTGCCTCAGCCTCTTGAGTAACTGGGATTCAGGCACATGCCACCATGCCCAGCTAATTTTTTGTATTTTTTTTTTTTTTTTTTTTTTTGAGACGGAGTTTCGCTCTTGTTACCCAGGCTGGAGTGCAATGGCAATCTCGGCTCACCGCAACCTCCGCCCCCTGGGTTCAGGCAATTCTCCTGCCTCAGCCTCCTGAGTAGCTGGGATTACAGGCACGCGCCACCATGCCCAGCTAATTTTTTGTAATTTTTAGTAGAGACGGGGTTTCACCATGTTGACCAGGATGGTCTCGATCTCTTGACCTCGTGATCCACCCGCCTCGGCCTCCCAAAGTGCTGGGATTACAGGCTTGAGCCACCGCGCCCGGCCAATTTTTTGTATTTTTAGTAGAGACGGGGTTTCACCATGTTGACCAGGATGGTCTTGATCTCTTGATCCACCCGCCTCGGCCTCCCAAAGTGCTGGGATTACAGGCTTGAGCCACCGTGCCCCGCCTGGAAGCCTTTAACAATAGGGCCTGATCGTGTTTGGTCTTCATTGGATGTCTTTCCACTTTGAGGAAAGAACTGGGGTAACGGCTGTATCATCATGACAAACAAGTGTCATAGTCAAGTCCAGACGAAGGCCCAGACAACCCTGGTTCTGTAGTCAGAGATGACTTGTGAAATCAACTGAATATGGCTCATCGACCTGAGTTCTTGTGCCCGAACTGCAAAGGTGTGGTACCTGACACAGGAACAAAGTCTGTCTGAAATCAGCTTTCCGGGATATCATTTTCTTTAGTGCAGAGATTTGATGACCTAAGTTGGTAGTGGAGGCAGAAGTTTCCTAAAGTGATCGTCCTTGGCCAACAGTGACTGACATCTGAGGTACAGCTTACCTCTACTTTTGGGGCTCACTGCCTCACTGGGGCCATATCATAGTGGCAGTTTAATAATAATCTTAGGTAGGTCTTTTTGGACATTTTAAAGCCACTGCTCTGAAGCATAAGCCAGGCATAAAATTGATTTCCCTTTTCCACATGCCCCAAATGTCCAACATAGGTGAGACATTTTTTAAACAGGCATCTCCAGACGGCAATTTTTGACCTCTTTCCAGATAAGAGGTTCAAGCCAGCCTTTTGCTATTGTGGGACATCAAAATTTACTATATGACCTGAAATCCTCCCAGGTGATTGAATTCACTCACAGGTACTAAGAGAGAAGATGAAACTTTCATTTATTTATCTCCACTCTACCCACCGACCAGTACTGTGCATAACCACTTCACCAAACTTTTGTCAATTTTGTTGCATTTTATCCGTTTACACGAGATCTACAATGCTTTTTCATTCCCACAGTAAACACTGAATCCTGTTTATAACTGAAGGGCAGGATCAGCGGGGAGCATCCGCAAAGCACTCCAGGCTCCTTTTTTCCTTTCCTCAGAGACCAGGAATGTGCCTTTGCACTGTTTTGCCAGCATCCTTAAATCATGATTAATTTATAGCCCTTTCTCTCCTTGGTGAGGCCTGACACAAGCAACTGCTTTTCTGTCACATTGATTTTTCTGTCCTTGCAGATTCAGAGCCAGGGTTGAGTCCTCCTCACAGGGTGAGTTCTCTGACAAGGAAGTTTTGCAACCCAGTTTACAGCTGGAGCCAAGCTTGTCAGTGAGTGCCAGAGGGAAACTGTCGCAATTGGCTGGCTAAGTATGCATTTAATAGTGTTTATCCAAGCGAGTTTGTGATTTCTTCACTCTCTCCAACAAATATGTTATTTGTAATAGCTATCTTCTCTCATCTAGGTGTTTGAAAAATGTCTCTAACGTGTGTGGGCTGGAATGCATTTTGTTTTTCTGTAGGTATGTTCATTTAACAAGGGTCTCTGAAGAGCTATCAAAAACTGCTTGCCATCTTTCCAAATCATCTCTGTCTGCAGTGACCATGTCTTAATCCTGAAGGAAAACAAGGTAATCTTTTCAAATAAACATTTTTAAGGATGTTTAGAGGGAACCCAATTGCTAGCATGTAGAACCCCCTTCCAGTGCTTAAAAATAGATATATTGAGAGAATACAATGCCAGTGAGTTGGAGTGTTTGTAAGCATTTGATATTTCCAGATGATTAACAGTAATAAGCTAAATTGCCAGCAATGATCTGAATTTGTGTGTGTGTAAATATGAGTGTGTATGTGTCGAAGATCCACTGAGTATCTTGTTTCTCAATATTGTTGGTGGAAAATGAGGTGCAGAGGGGTTACAGACTCTCAGTAGGTAAGTGAGTTGGTAAGGGACTTTGGCAATATTTGACCCTAAGTCCATTAAGTTTCACTGGGTTAACCTGACTCTAGGGAGAGTAAATATGAGATGAAGAAATATTTGATCATTAAATAAAAAGGAAGGACTGAAACAAATGCAATTGGTTGTATGAAATGTATTAATGCAATACTCCTAGTCTCAAGGAAGTTGACATGAAATAGGAAGAGAACATGTAGAGTATGGATTGAGTAAACAAAAAATTATGTAGATGATGTAATTACTGTAATTAAATCAAAACAGATTGTGTATGCTGGAACTTATCATATTACTCACAACATAATTTCACATAAATTTTTTTAAAACCTGGCTTTTTCCCTTTCTGGTCTGTGGGTTTCTAAAGGGCAAACCTCTTTTTTCATTTGGGCCTGAAGCCCCAGGACTTACTGCTGGTCCTGGCATAAATGATGACAGAAATGATTGAGTGCATGAATTTGCTACTGAGTTTGACATTATTGTCTCATTGTTTGTGGGCCTGGGATATTTTCTACTTAATTCACTTATCATTTGTTGTTTAAGGTGTCTGAATACTCAAAATACTTTTTTAATGTACTTCACCTATACATGACATAAATACATTATTAGCTTTAAAAAAAAAATCTTATCGTAGTGCCATCCAACAGGAATATAATGTGAGCCATGTGTAATTTAAAATGTACTAATAGCCATATTAAAAAAGGAAAAAGAAACGTATGAAATTGATTTTTAATAGTTTTATTTAGCTATATTCAAATCATTATCATTTCAACATGCAAATGTAAATTTATTAATATGATATATGACATTTTTTTTCCTAGTAAGTTTTTAAAATCCATTAGGGTATTTTGCATTTAATGCACATCTTAATTCAGGCTTACATTCAAACTGAATTGTAGACTACTGCATTTCAGTGCTCAGTGAGCACATGTGGCCACTGTGTGAGCACATTTCAATAGTTCGCAGGTCAATGTAGGGGACATTTCCCCCTCACTTAGCATTTGTTTCCTGTTACTATGCCCACTGAGCGTTCTGGTGTGGAAAAAACCCCATGACTGGTAGTGTACACATAAATTGGGGTGACTAGCATCCTAGAGTCCCTGAAATTGAGAAGTTTTCTGGAACAAAGAACTTACAATGTTAAAACCAGGACAGCTCTGAGAAAAGCAGAATGGTTGGTATTCCTAAAGTAACCTGTCACGATGATTGGTTCAGACCTAAAGCATACAAACCTGACTGTGGATTATGGGATTTTTTTGGGAGCCACTCGGAGAAAGAACCTTACTTTCTGCTATGGTTATTATCAGCTAATCTTTATATCATGTGGGGAGAACCTGGTTGAAAGTATTACCTACTTGGGAAGAAATCCCAGTGAAAGAGAAACTGAGTTTTGGTGACTTATTTTTTAGTTCTTGGACCCAGTCGTGTCTGAACCTATTCTATTCTTGGACTTTTCAGTGAGTTAATACATTCTTTACACCTGTCTCCATATTGTTTGTTTAAACAGTTAAGGTTGCATTTCCATCATGTGAAATGGGGATAGTTCTAATGAATAGGTTTAGAAAAAAAAAAAAAGAGTACAAGAAATCTAGTTGGAATTTTTAGGCTCATAGGAAACACAATCAGGCTGTCTATTTTATTTTAACGCACCCTCCTCGAGCTACTGTTGAGTGTGTGTGTGTGTGTGTGTGTGTGTGTGTCCTCTCTTTTGCTACCTAGGGACAGCAAGTATTTTTGTGGAGCAGGGGATTGAAGACAGTGAAGTAGCTGCATACTGCCAATCACCTATGAATCGGTGGGCAGTTAGAAAAGTAGGAAGAAATTAAGACCTGCTATCTTTCCTTTATTGTCCCTTCCTCTGTTGCTCTCAGACCATTGTGCTTTACTTGTACTGTGGGTGTTTTGCTCCACCACAATGGCTCTCATGATGAACTATTAGCTTCATTCTAGGTCCTGGGACAATCTACAGTTTGTTTGCAGAGTTGCAAAGTCAAGCATTTTAATTATTCTTTCTCAATCATTGGATACTACAAGTGCAATATGGAAGGCTTATAACAATTTTTGATGGTTTCAGAAAAAGAGTGAGTAAGCATGCAATAGATAGATGCTATTGAGCCACTAATCATGGCTTGACATGCCTTATGTGAAGCACTTAGCAAGTGTTAAAACATCATATTTAAATATCACAACAATTTTATTGCTGGCATTATTATCCTTATTGCTTTGAAATTAAAAAAAAATTGGACTGGGAATGATGGCTCATGTCTGTAACCCCAGCACTTTGGGAGGCTGAGGCAGGAGGATTGCTTAACCTCTCACACTGGATTTTTTTTTTTTTGGTTTATAAAAACCTCTTAGTATTAATAAATACATATATAAATAAATTTGTGACTTAAATGAAAATATCTATTTTATGAACAAATGTGGCAGTGAATATGTACTATATATTAGTTAATGTTAATGTACATTAGTCTTAAGATCCATAGAAGACTCCATTTGACTTTTACAACATGGATGTTTTTCTTCACTGAAGGTTGAAATTGATTATGTATATTTTATTGTACTTTAGGTTCTGGGGTACATGTGCAGATCATGCATGATTGTTGCATAGGTTCATACATGGCAATGTGGTTTGCTGTGTCCATCCTCCCATGACCTATATATGGCATTTCTCTCCGTGTTATCCGTCCTCAACCTCCCTACACCCAGCTGTCCCTCCCCTAGTCCCCCCCAACAGGCTCTGGTGTGTGATGCTCCCCTCCCTGTGTCCATGTGTTCTCATTGTTCAACACCCACCTATGAGTGAGAACATGTGGTGTTTGATATTCTGTTCTTGTGTCAGTTTGCTAAAAATAATGGTTTCCAGATTCATCCATGTCCCTGCAAAGGACATGAACTCATTGTTTTTGATGGCTGCATAATATTCCATGGTGTACATCTGCCACATTTTCCTTGTCCAGTCTATCATCGATGGGCATTTGGGTTGGTTCCAGGTCTTTACTATTGTAAACAGTGCCGCAATGAACATATGTATGCATATGTCTTTATAATGGAACAATTTATAATCATTTGGATATATACCCAGTAAGTGGATGGCTGGGTCAAATGAGTTTTCTATTTCTAGGTCCTTGAGGAATCGCCACACTGTCTTCCACAGTGGTTGAACTAATTTATACTCCCACCAGCAGTGTAAAAGTGTTCCTATTTCTCCACATCCTCTCCAGTATCTGTTGTCTCCAGATTTTTAAATTATCTCATTCTAACTGGTGCGAGATGGCATCTCAATGTGGTTTTGATTTGTATTTCTCTAATGACCAGTGGTAATGAGCATTTTTTCATATGTTTGTTGGCCTCATAAATGTCTTCTGTTGAAAAGTGTCTGTTCATGTCCTTTGCCCACTTTCAAATGGATTTTTTTTTCTTTTAAATCTGTTTTAGTTCTTTGTAGAGTCCGGATATCAGCCCTTTGTCAGATGGGTAGATTCCAAAAATTTTTTCCCTTCTGTTGTTTGCCAATTCACTCTAATAATGGTTTCTTTTGCTATACAGAAGCTCTGGAGTTTAATTAGATCCCATTTGTCTATTTTGACTTTTATTGCCAATGCTTTTGGTGTTTTCGTCGTGAAGTCTTTGCCTATGCCTATGTCCTGAATGGTTGTGCCTAGGTTTTCTTCTAGGGTTTTTGTGGTGTTAGGCCTTACGTTTAAGTCTTTAATCCATCTGGAGTTAATTTTAGTGTAAGGTGTCAGGAGGGGTCCAGTTTCTGTTTTCTGTACATGGCTAGCCAGTTATCCCAACACAAAATTGATTTTCACTTCTTTGCATCTAAGTATGTGTCAGTCTTGGCCACATGGTGATGCAGCACAAGGGTCTGTGTACTGGCTGTCTTGATGCTCTTCCAAATTCAACTGTTTCTCAAAAGGACACCACTGAAGGAATAAACCCAATTCTCAGTATGGTATACCTGGAAAGTTGTCCAACTCATGATGTCAGAGTCACAGACTTCATGCACACTCATCTCAAGTCAGTATATGTAACACATTTCCACTAATTATTGGATAACACTAGCAAGAAACTCTGGTATTTTTCAACTAATCTTTGCTAATTTAAATGTGGCCAGTCCACCCTCATACTGCATTTTGACGGGCATATAAAAGCCAATGAAAGATATCATCCATGGTTAACAATAGTCATCACTGACAACTTCCTGCTGAATGTCACTGTTACTCCTACTACTGCTACTACCACTACCATGTATGAAGCTGCCATTATTACTAACTCAAAGTTTTCACTGATATAGAAACAGGTGTATCTTTAAAGAATAACTTCCTCCCTACATCATGCTTCCCTTCTTTCTGTCCCTTCTCCTCTCCCACCCCCACACTTTTGGCTTCACTTTGCTCAGGCTGTGACTACTGTCTGCAAGAGCTAACTTTTATCTGACTGTAAAGCCAAGCAAACTAATCTTGCAGAACTGTTCTGCCACAAAATCTGGACTCTTCCCATTTGGAATTAATCTGTATATTAGCAACTTGCAACTGTGGTGGACAGTGCTGCTTAATTGCCATACCAGTGTCACTTATCTTGTCCTCTCCTAACCTGCGAGTTAGACGTTTAGGCTGCTGTCTTCATCAGTGTAAGGTGAAATATCAGATTGTTGTGTAAAAAGTGTGGCTTGGA